GAGGTTCAAACCCAAGTTCTACCAATTTTTACCAGCTTCACGGTATATTTGTGTGAGTTTCATGACACCACCTTTAGCAATGTTTGGTTACAGTCCTGTTTTCTCCATGTTTCACATCTCTTCCAATCTTCAGCTTACTTTACAAGAACTTCCTCTGACCTTTGATCATACATACTCAAATTTTTCAGCCTATGGTCTCCTCTGCCCATTGTCAAAATTTGTCTTAGGAAAGGGAGAATTTCATCCTCCTCTCCTCTACCTCTTACTCCTAATCCTCCTTCCCACTTTCTCCCTCCTCCTTCTCTCAAGGACAATATTTTGAGGAAGTTAAATTGGAAAGTTCTTTTAAAATTATATGATTGTATTATTTTTATTAGTTGTGTGTCTTGAACACTTGGCCTGGGCACTGTCCCTATGCTCTTCAGGTCTTCAGCTCAAGGGAAGCACTCTACCGCTCTCTTTTTGCTGGTTGATTGGAGATAAGGGTCTCCTCGACTTTCCTGCCTGGACTGGCTTTGAACTGTGATCCTCAAATCTCAGCATCCTGATTAGCTTAGATTACAGACCTGAGCCACCTGCGCCCAACTCCATGATTGTATCTTTTACTGCTGTTGTTGAAAGTGGATCTTGAACTCAGGGACTGGGTGTTGTCCCTCAGCTAGTACTCTACCAGTTGAGCATCAGCTCCACTTCTATTGACTTTAATATAATAGGTTTCTCTGTAAAATTTACAATCCTAACACGATTAGAATCAAGATAATATGGGTATATTAGTTAAAATACTTCTAAAAGTCAACATCTGTTCAGGATATTCAAAAGCTATTAGTGTCTATGGAAGACAGAAATAATTTTAAAAAAACCAAAGTGGTTTGAAACATATGTAAAAAAATCAATAAGTATCATAATAAGTGGTGAAATATTTTAACATTTTCCCCATCAGATTGTTTTTACTGTTGAAATATTTACTATCATATCCTCACATACACAATTATACAGGATGTTCCCCTCCAAATTCAATAAAGCAAGAGGAATAAGAAGACATTAATTTGAGAAGTGAAGCAGCCAGGTATCTTGATTTGCTTATGAAATTTGAACAAATTTATTAAAAATTATAAAAATTAATCATAGGATATAATGATAACTTAGTAGAATCTATGCAAACACAGTGAATAGAAAAACATCTCTTTTAGAGTAAAGAAGACACAGCTATTCAAAAGTATTTTCACAGTCATAAATTGGAGTACAACAATATTTTAAATTTTCTTTAGTTTGAAACATAGAATCAAAACAATACAAAATTAAAATTACCTAAAAGAATATTTAAAGTAGAAAATGTAAATCTAGAATTTCCATAGCAATTTAAGACACTCAGGATAGCCCAGAGAGTATTAAGCTCAGAAATCTGTCCTTACGTTTTCCAACTTTATTTTCCTTTTTTTTGTCGTAGAGCATTGTGGTTAAGTCTGTGTACATGCAGTAGGTGCAAACAGGAAAATAGTGCAGTTGACAGCTCAAACAGGAAATACACATCTTCTGGCTCATGGAATTGTAAGCCCCCTGTGTAACTCCTTAATAATAACAATAAAAATGTCAGGAGCCAAGTACTAATGGCTCATTTCTTTAATCCTAGCTACTTATGCGATTAGATCTGAGGACTGATGTTGGAAACCAGCCTGTATAGGAGAGACTATGAGACAAGTATATCCAATGAAGCTCATAAAAAAATCACAAGTAGAGGTGTAGATCAAGTGTTAGAATGCTAGCTTTGAACATAAAAAAGCTCAAGGAAGAAGCAAGGTCTTTCCTTGAGTTCCGGCCAAAGGACCAGAACCAAAATGAAAACAAACCAAAAAGAAAAGGAGTAAGGACCTGGTCCACCAGTGTACAACCTGGTGATTTCTAACAAAAGAATGGAGTGGGGATGTATCGGTGTAATTATTGTCTTGCTGTGCTGTGCAGATTCTTCTAATCATTTACTTGTGGAAGCCACCAGTATTTCCTGTAGAGTTTTTGCATGATGAGTCCTAATGAACATGGACAGGAAGAAGAGACTACATTAGAATGTACTGAAACCTGCAGGCAGATGCTAGGACAGAGGGGAGGAATGGAGGATCACCTGTCAAGATCAATCTACAAGCAACTGAGAGCATTGGTACTCACTCCAAGTGTCTACACAGGGAAAGGACCTAGGTTAGGCAGCCTTCAGTTTCACAAGTAGGTGATCTGGGTCTGAGGGACACAAGAGAATACTCCATTTCTGTGTTTAGTTTCACTCAATAACATAAGCCAGTCTTGGAATGGCGATAGGCTAATAATTTTTCTATTAAAAAAGAAACATTACTTGCTTGAATTAACTAACATGTGTCAATTTTACAAAAGAACCCCAAATAACACTCTAAAAGTTTCCTCCCTTGTTATGATTTGTGTGCTCTATTGAATCAGGAGCGGCATTGACAAGTGTGTACTGCTGCAGACAGAGAGACAGAGTACAGGGAATTCTGCAAAAATGATTCTACCAAAATCTTCAAGTGACCTTCAGATTCTGGATATATCTGAGAAGCTGTGTCATTAGGTGGAGGCACCTGGAAGGGCAGTTGGGACAGCCTAGCCTCTCACCTCTACTTCCCTGGAAGCTTAATACTATGGCTTTTATCACTGTGAGTGTGTAGCTCCTAGGCTGTAGACAGTAATAAGTGGGGAAATCTTCAGGTTGCAGTCTGCTTATGGTGAGAGTAAACTCTGTCCCAGATCCACTGTCCTTAAATCTGGATGGTAATTATTTGCAACATACATGAGGAGCTTAGGAGCTTTCCCTGATTTCTGTTGAAACCAATTTAAAGAAATGCTAATCCCCTTTCTGGCCCTGAAAGCCATGGAAACTCTGTCTTTCAGAGATGTATACAGAGGGGATAGAGACTGGTATTTTGGATGTCACATCTGTCACCTGGCAGTGGAAATATAAATCAAATACTCTCCTTGATAATCATATTACTAGAGGCCTTCGTTGCAGTATCAGAGAGCCCCTACTGCACTAGGCTGAGTAAATCCCCAGCATTGTTCTTCCTTACCTGGGAGCAAGAGCAGCAGGAGCCCTAAAGCTGAGCAGGGACCATCATGTCCATGCTGGGTGCTGACTGGGACTGTCTCTTGCACAGAGTGTGAGCAGACTATGAAGTGCTCAGGGCAGTGGGTTGTGCTCTGTGCACATGCAAATCAGCAGGGCTGGGCAGAGCTGGGCACATCTGCAGGATTGGCTCAACTCAGTGAATAACCTCAGGCCTTGAGTCCAAAAGTTTCCTAGACTAGAAAAGAGGAACATGAATTTGCCTGCAGAGTATGTGGACATGATTTGATGGTAGAAGACACTTTTATGACTATTTTCAAAATGTATAATGCACAGAAGCAACTGTGGTAAAATGGTATTTCATAAATATATTGAAACCTTCTTGTTTCTACTTAGATCTTTTATTCACTTCCAAAAATTTTTCCTGGAAAATATCCCTGTGTTTTCTTTATAAAATACTTACGCATTGAAGCTTTTCTTACTGCCTTGCCTTGCCTTGCCTTGCCTTGCCTTGCCTTGCCCTGCCCTGCCCTGCCCTGCCCTGCCCTGCCCTGCCCTGCCCTGCCCTGCCCTGCCCTGCCCTGCCCTGCCCTGCCCTGCCCTGCCCTGCCCTGCCTTGCCTTGCCTTGCCTTGCTTTTCTTTTCCTTTCCTGTCCTTTCCTTTCCTTTCCTTTCCTGTCCTTTCTTTCTTTTTTGGGGGGGGGGGTTTGTGGCTTGTACTCCGGGTCTGGTCTCTGTCCCACAGCTCTTCAGTTCAAGGCAAACACACTTGAGCCACAGTGCTACTTCCAGCTTCCGGTGATTTATTGGAGATAAAAGCCTCAAGGGCTTTGCTGGCCAGGCTGGCTTTGAACTACAATCCTCAGATCTCAGCCTCCTGAGTAGCTAGGATTGCAGTTTTGAGTCCCTAGCACATAGAAGGAAAAGAAATCTTAATCACAGTAATACATTTTCCTTTTTTGGTATTGTAATATTGTTTTGAATCTGATTTACTTTGTGAAGAAATTATTTCACTTGTTTGTTGCTGTGTAAGATCATAAACAACTTGTCATGTTTCATATAATTTCCAGCTTTTGATAGTTTCCTGCAAAGAAATTAATGAAGTTTGTTATTTTTTTAAAAAGTTCATTTTCCTAGATTGGTAGAAACAACTTACAATCAAATTTAAGTGAGTTTTAATGCCATCACTTAGGTGGACTATTTCTGATAGTTGGGGAAAAGTCACCATTGTTGACAGTCATTTTATCTCAATACACCATTATGATCATTATGATTGTGTGTGGAAGCTCAAATCCCTGTTCCATCTCTAGTTTCCTGCAGAGTTCATCATTAGGTCATCCTTTCATTAGATTTGGTGAACTGGAGAGAGTTGTATAATTCTTGCCAGAAGCAGGAAGACATGTGATCAGAAGTGAGGCCTGGAGAATTCCCCTGGAGAGGTAGTTGGGTCAGGTGAGAGCATCAGCTACTCACCCTGGGTTTTTCCACAGGGTGGAGAATCACAGGATTATGTGCTCAAAAACCTAGGACAGCCTCACTGAACCAGAGAATGCCACATTCCTCCTTCCAACTTGTCTGATGAGCTAGGACTTAACCTAATGATTAGACTCATTTCCTGTATTAAAACAATTCCTTCTTAGAGATTCTTGTCTGGCTTCTGTTTTATTGTGTGAATCAGAAAAGGTGATGTTATATGAGAAGAGACATGGCCATATTTGTGCTTCTGGGACAGAGGAGGACAAAAGGGACAAAGATTAAGAGGAGTCTTCACATTTAAATGATAATCTTTGAAAGTGTTCATAGTGGTGCTACATCTGAGAAGCTCTATCAGCAGATGGAGGCACCAGAAAAGCAGCTGAGCAGCCCAGCCTCTCACTTCTGCTTCCCTGGGAGGTTTTTGTTATGGCTTGTATCACTGTGGGAGGTAAACTACTACCCTGCTGACAGTAATATGTGGCAAAATCCTCAGGCTGCAGGCTGCTGATGGTGAGTGTGAACTCTGTCCCAGATTGACTCCCACTGAACCTTGATGGAATCCCAGAGGCTAAATTCTTTGCAAAACTGATCAGAAGCTTTGGAGCATTCCCTGGTTTCTGCTGATACCAGTGTAAATAATCGCTAATGCCCTGACTGGCACGGCAAGTGATGGATACTCTGTCTCCTGGAGATGCAGACAGGAAGGATGGAGACTGGGTCATCTGGATGTCACATCTGAAACCTGGCATTGGAAACATAAATACAAACATCCACACTGTTAGTCATGTTATAGGAGGCCTTCCCTGAAGACCCAGGCAGCAGTGAACACACAGGATGAGAGGAGTGGTGTCCTTCCTTACCTGGGAGCCAGAGCAGCAGGAGCCCCAAGAGCTGAGAAGAGGTCCTCATGTCCATGCTGTGTGCTGACTGGGACTGACTGCTTCACAGGGTGTGAGCAGCCTATTATGAAGTCATTGGGGCAGTAGTCTGTGCTCTGAGCATATGCAAATGAGAAAAGCTTGGTAAAGCTGGGAACAGCTATAGGAAAAGCCCAACTCAGGAAATCCTCATGTTTCATCTGTGCCCACATATGAAATATAAGTTGTTAAGTTTTCAAGCAATTCATGCTTCAGGCTCTTCTAAAACTCACATATACACAAAGTAAAATGTGATTTTTCCCAAGCAGGTAAAAAGGCTGAGTCCAACTCTTCCTTATTGACTTTACTGCATAAAGGAAAATTTTACTACATAGGAAAATTTTCAAAGCAAAGGAAAACAACTATATCAAGGGTTTTATTAAGCATGTCCTTTGGTTTGATGGCTGGAGGGTTGAAGCAAAAGCATATTGCTACCAGAACAGCCCAAAATTTGTTGTTTTTGTGATTTGCCATGTCACCAGGTACAATTTTTACTTAGACTTACAGTTTCAAGTTTAACCATATTAACAAGGGTTCTTTGCTTGTTGTAGCCTTTTGTGAATATTTTAGTTTAAATGAACATGCATATTTTTAGTAATCTTCTGTTACCACATAGCTTTTTCTTGTACCATATTTCAAGTGCAGAGGCCTTCCATTGACAAAGAAATAACTTTAATTCTTCCCTATATTTGTCAGGTGGTTTAAATTTATAGGTAATCTAATAGCATCTGTTCAAAGTGAAGTAATAAAAAAAATTTTATAATACATTTAATGGAAAAGTATTAACCAATAAATGGAAATACTAAGGTAGTTGCCAGGTGTTATCTCAAATACTTGGTTTTGTAAAATCTATGAAAAAGTTATTTTTCTAGAGTCCATTCTGTTATTTTCTCTTTCTTTTTCCCTCTTTCTTTCTTGCTTTTTCCTTCCTTTCTTTCTGTTTTGTTTCTTTCTTTTTTGACATGATATTTCTATGACTTCCAGGCTATCCTTGATCATGTGATTTTCTGTGTATTTAACCTGCAATATTAGAGGGACTCATGAAATAATAAAAAGAAGCTGAAAGTTGCTGAGAGAAGGTGGTGAACATGAAAACAGATAGTATGATAGAAAGAGGACATGGCCTCTGTACGGTGAGAATAGACTATATTAATTCTGATTGAATTGAGAATCTAGATTCCAGAATGTTATGAACGTAGGCATACCTGAATAACATGATGTAGGAATACTGTCTCACATTTCTTAGGTCTCTGAGTAAGTACAGTGGCCTTTTAATGTAAACTCAAAATTCAAATTAATATAGGAATATCAGCCTACATATGGAAGAGTGATAGATTTTTGTCTATTCAGAGACTTTTATTTTTGAAATGTGTTTTCATCTACTAGTGTAGTTAAGTAATTAAATTAATATCAATATATTTTGAACTCTTGACATTGTAAACAGATGTTCTATGATTTGAGTCACATCTTTCACCCAATATGTTTAAGTTATTTTTCAGTCCTTGGGTCTCACACAATTTTCCAGCCCAGTCTCAGGCTACACAGCTGTTCTTATGCTTCTCCCACATATTAGAATCCAGGCAAGTGCCATCATGTCTTTTATTCCAGAAATATATCTTGTGACTTTTCTTTGATGTCCTGACACTCTGGTCCTCCTAATTTTGTACTCCACATAGTTGAAATTGTGATTGCAGGTAACATCAATCACACTAAGAGTAAGTATTTCTGAAAATTCAGAATTGTTTTCTTTGCAAGGGCCTTGCTCATCTAGAAAAAAGTGCAAAGTATGAAATTCATATGTGGTTCTCAGGAAGGAAAACACCAAATGATCCATCTGATTTTGTTGTATACACACACACACACACACACACACACAGACACACTCAAGTTATTGAATTTTCTTTCTGATAGTTTGACCACTTTATACAAACAAATTTAAAGAGTTGATTGAAAAGCTCAGTGGAAGAGAAACACCTGAGACAGTGAACCTCAGTGAGCAGCTATCTCAAGGATATTTTGTTTGACGAACCCTCAAATATGTATTTTAATGTTTTTGTTTCTTTCATGCATGTGTTTCTAACGCATTTATAAGATTATTTCTTTGTTGCTTTGTATGTCCCTCCCCCACAGTGTAACCCCCGCTTTCACTATATTTGATGTCAGTATAACATGTGGAGGAGACGGGGACAAACAAGTCGTTTAAGGATTCAGGTGGACCTGTTGCAACAATGAGAAGTACAAAATGTCATGTCAAAACCAGCTTTACAATGTCGGTGTGTGTGGGGGGGGGAGGGGGGTATGATTGGGTGGGGGGGGAGGGGGGAGGCTGGGAAGGGAGGTGAAGGGTAAACAAAGGAGGAGGCTGCAATGCTTGGTAAGAAATGTATGCATTATCCTGCCCATGTAATTGTAACCCCTCTGTACAGTATGTTCTCAAATAAAATAAAATAAAATTAAAAAAAAAGAATATTTTGTTTGAGCTAGAGCACTGTGAGAGGAATCTTGTTATTCTCCTGACCATAGCAATTTGCAGCATCTTCAGCCTCCACTGGATTTATGGTGAAGATGAAATCTGTCTCTGCCATTGAACCGGTCTGGGACCCCACTTTTCCTATTGGATCCTGTATAGCTCAGAGGTTTTGGAGACTGTCCTGGTTTCTGTTGATACCAACATATGAAACTCTCTAAAATTCATCAGCATTCTCACTGGCTCTGCAGATGATGATGGCCATGTCTTGAGGAGACAGGGCCAGGGATGCAGGAGTTGGAGTCAGTACAATGTCTCCATTGGACCCTGGAATGCTAATCATATCTCACGAATGGTCACAGATGTACTGAGACCATCCCAATGTAGGCATATTGCAATAGTGACAGCTGTAACTTGTCAGGGAAGACACTTTAATAATAGAAAATTTAGCAAAAAGACTTGAATCAATCATGTTGAGAAACCTGCAAATCAAACAGCAGCAATGGCCATGATGATTGTGACTAACCTTTTCTGCCAACCTCACCTGGAGCCCAGAGCAGAAGAGCTAGAGGTTTGACAGTGCTTTTCAGGTCTCAGAAACTGCTTCTAACGAAGATTTGAGCAACCTGCACTGTTATGCAATGACACAATGTGCAAATTAATTCAGAAGGGCTTGCCTTGATGTTTAAAGGAGACATAGGTTTTCTTTCACTCAGTGGGAGTTGTGGCTAGACAAGACAAAATAATCTTGAATATTTTCTAGTGTAACTGGAGTATTTCCAGTAATTTGTGAATTTCTCTGTTGAAATTTTATTTCTACTTGAGATGCCATGTGGAAGAACATGCCATGTTTGCCCTTCCACACATATGTCACTCAGATATGCTTTGTATTCCCCAAATTGAAGTTGTCACATCATCTCAAACAGCAGTTCATTCCGAAAGGAAGTCAATAGAGTTAATAGAGGAGTGAAATCACTCTGCTAGAGGGCGGGGATGGGGGAGTTGTCTTCCTGAATACATCTTCTGGACAGCATGTCTGTAAATGCCATCCAGAGCTGGAAAGGTCGGGAGGTGCGAGTGTGCTACAGTAGTCAGTGAGCTGGTGATACCAATGAAAAAGGAAGCCTTTTTGGGTTGCCAGGTTACTCACATAGTTAGACCAGTCTGGGTTACATAGTAAGACTGGTAGGTTCCCAATCTGCATGAACTTACTTTACCTTCCTGTGGGTAAAGACTTTCCTGTCTGTTTAATTTTGAAACAAGATCTATTTTGCCCCTAGTTTTCCATTGATAGTGGAATGATTGCTGTGGGTCCTAATTTGAGTAAGAAAAAATCAGATCTGTTCTTTTACTCAGATCTTTGTCCTTACCAATGGAAGCAGTAGCTGAGGAACCTGAAGTTCTCCTATAGAATGAGAAGATGATACAAACACATTGGATAGTGTTATGTAATCAAGGAGATTTATTTTAGACCAGGGAGTTAATGAAAAGTTATATGTAGAAATATGATTTGGAGGTTAAAGGATACAACAAATTCACCAAGAATCAACTATTTATTATACTTGTGGGCAATAGTGTTTGTCTGTTTAATGGGAAATATGTAGCTTATTAATAAATTCATGGGAAATATTTCATTCAGCTACATAAGTTATGGAGTAATTCATTGTCAGGTGTTGGTGACCCTAGAGTGAATGCATTTCTAGTTGTTCATGAGGCTGCAATCTGAGGAGTTATGTTTGAAGCCAGACTCAGAAGGAAAGTGAGATTCTTATCTCCAATAAACTGCCAAAAGCCACAAGTTGAGCTGTAAATCCCAAGGAAGAATGCTAGCTTTAGCATAAAACATAGGGACAGAACATAGGCTCTTGATTATAGCCATTCTAACTGGGGTGAGGTGAAATTTCAGTGATGTCTTGATTTGCATTTCTTTTATGGCAAGAGAAGTTAAGCATTTCTTCATGAGTCTAAAGGCCATTCTTATTTCATCTTCATAGAAGTCTCTCTTTTAAGTCTTTAGTCCATTTATTAATTGGGCAGTTGTTTCTTGAGGATTTGTAGTTGGGGATTAAATTTTTTGAGTTCCAGGTATATTTTATATATGAGACCCTTGTCCGTAGGATGGCTAGTGAAGGTCTTCTCCCAATCTGTGTGGTTTCTATTGATCTAGCTAGCAGTGTCGTTTGCCATGAAGAAGATCTGCAACTTCATGAAATCCCATTTGTCCAACCCTTCTTTGATTTCTTATTTTTCTGGGTCTCTATTCAGAAAATTTCAGACTGTGCCAAGGAGACCGAGGGATTCTCCTATTCCTTCCTGTAATGTTTTCAGAGTGTCTTCTTTGACTCCGAGGTCTTTGATCCAATTGGAGTTAGTTCTGGTACAGGGTGATATATCAGCATCTAGCTTTAGTTTTCTACAAGTGAGTAACCAAATTTGCCATCACCATTTACTGAAGAGGATGTCTTTCTTCCATAATATTTTTTTAGATCTCTTATTGAAGATTAGATGGCTATAGGTCTGTAGGTTCATTT